CAGGGATCAGGTGGGCATGGGCCCCAGGATTGCGAGTGACTCTCCCCTTGACAGCACCCTTCACGGTCCTGTCGAGCTGCAGACAAATGCCACCCAGTGACCTCGGTACCTCACCAGTCTGTGCAGAGCAGCAGGGGCCACGGGAGCTGGTGCCCAGCAGGGTCCCTCATCAGCTCTGGGACTTCTGAACGGGGGCTTTAGGGTGCCGTGGGCTGAGCACCCAGCGTGCTGGGCTCTCGGCTAGTGCTCACCTCAGTTTTTTTTCCATCGATCGTTCAGAGAAGGAAAGACAGAGACACAGCCATCTGAGAGAAACACATCGATGGGTTGCCCCCTACCGAGGTACATGCCCTTGACTGGAATCGAACCCAGGACGCTTCGGTCTGTAGGCCGACGCTCTACCCACTGGGCCAAACCAGCTAGGGCGCTGACAGCCCTTCATAAAAGCACCTTGCCCGCCTCCAGCCCTGCCTGGCTCTGAGGTGGAAAAGCACCTTGCCCGCCTCCAGCCCTGCCTGGCTCTGAGGTGGACCAAGCCTTCCTGACCCTCCCGAGTGCCAGGAGGGGCCTCCAGGGGCGGGTGCCCAGCCAGTCACCTCAGCTGTGCGGTGGCCTCCCCACCTACTTGGAGCACCTGACTCACCTTAATGATGGGCCTCGGGCAAGGCTGGGACCGCAGAGAGCTCCGAGGCGGCTGGGCCTCCCCTGCCCAGGGGCACCCTCCCTCCCACCAGCAGCTCCCCAGCCTGGGGACCCCTGCTCCCCTCCCCCAGGTCTCTCCCGCTGGCCTCCGACACACCTTTGGCCTGGGCTTTCCTGGGTCCCCACCCACGGAACCCGGAACCAGGCCTTGGCTTCCTCCTGCTCAAGTGTATTTAGCCTCGTTATCAAATGTTTGCAGGGATCGTGCGAACCTCATTGACTCCATTCCCGGGGAAAGCGGCACCGACCACGCCTCACTGTGGAGAACGCCCCTCCTGGGCGGCAGATGCCCCCTCACCGAGCACCCCACCACCTCCCCAGCAGCCCCTGCTCCGGGCACTGCCCCCTCACCGAGCACCCCACCACCTCCCCAGCAGCCCCTCCTGGGCGGCAGATGCCCCCTCACCGAGCACCCCACCACCTCCCCAGCAGCCCCTGCTCCGGGCGCTGGAGGCTGAACAGGGGGTGCTGAGGAGGGGCCGTGCAAGAGGGGTTCTCCCCAAGCTGGTGACCTCTTGGTCCAGTCAGTCCTCCAGTCTCCATTTCCAGTTCTCGAAACAGCGGCTGCCCGTTCCCTCTGAGGACGGGGGAGGGTGGGGCGGGCTGGGTGCTGGGGTTCCCGTCCCACCCCAGGGCAGGCCTGGGGCTGCGCCCCGTGTGGTGTCCCAATTCCCCCAGGCGGCTGTCGCGTGGCTGCAGAAGTTTTTGCCACCCTCACGAAGCCACAGCCACTGTTGTTGTGGTAGCTATGACGACGTGAGCGGGTTTTATTTTTAATAGCGGCTTGAGATTAGAGGGAGGGAGGGAGGGAGGCCTGCCTGCTCCCCCCAAAGCTCTCCAGTCTGGGGCAGGCTTGACCCTGCTCCCCTTCCCGCTCTGGTCGGAGAAGATCTGTGCCCCCAAGCCTCCCCGCTGGCCCCAAATTGGAACGGGGTGTCCCTGAAGTGCCAGGCCGCTCGGGGGCATGGACCCCCAGGAGCGGGGCCTGTGCAGGGCCCCTTTCTCCTCCGTCTCCACCCCTGGTACGAGCCGAGTCCTTCAATCACCCCAGGAAATGCCCTTGGGCCCTGCCTGCCGAATACCAGGGTCTCAGCTGGGTGGTGCGGTCACTCTCCGACGTGAGGGCAGCAGACGGCGCCCACCGGCTCCAGCCAGAGGCCTGCTTTCCAGAAACTTCGAGGGGTCCCTCCCGGAAGCTATAGAAGGTTCCACCTGGACAGACAAGGGGTGGCTTTCACGTGCTCCTCATGGTCTCCAAGTTCCCGGCTTCTGCCTGGGCCCTCCATCCCGACCCTCCACGGGCCTGCGGATCTGCGGGCCCCGTGTTGTGGGGAGGCCGCAGGGGCGTGAAGGCCTCTGGAAGGAACGCAGACCGAGGACCTCTGGGACCCGCAGGAGAAGCTCCCACCCGCCCAGGAATCTGGGGAAAGGCCAGCGCCCGGAGGCCCCTCCGGACTCGGGCCTTTGAAATGCCAGGCGCGGCCCAGCCGAGATGAAAGCGGCTGCGCCTCCACCGCGGGGCAGGGGGTCGGGGGCCCTTGGGGGGGGTCGGG